TCCCCTTCTTTTACCCAGCAACCTTCCATTACTGCCTAGCAATTTAGGCTAGTGATAGCAATACTTTTCACTTGTTCACTCCACAACTATTAGCTCTTGCTTTCTGGGACAGTTACTGACTTGCCCCCTATTAACTTCCTATTGCCAGCTACCTTATCTAGTTGCTAGTGTCTAGGTCTTCCTTTTTTTTGGTTTCCTGCATGGCAGCTAGGTGGCATAGGAGCACATCAATGGATGCTACTGTAGATGTTGTACTTGTGGCACACAAGTCAGCTTTATGTGGATGTCTGTCGACATAATTATAGATTCCATATATGTCCCATACCTCTCTGTAGACATCTTAGCAATTACATAGCTCTTTGTGCAATGCATCTAAAGTGTCTATGGAGATGTCCAATTATGGACATCCCATGAAAGCATTCATTGATTGTGGTCATATCTATTCCTTTACAATGCATACAGACATCTATATATTCTATCGATGTGGTCTGCATCACTGCATACCTACACTCTAGTGTATGTAGCTTTTTTCCTTTTCCCTGATGTATCCAACAATTCAGAACAACCTTTCTTCAACTTTCTCGCCATAGTCTCATTCTCAGCATTGGCTTGCTTGCTTCAGACACAAGTCTACGACTATGTTCCAGACCCTTCCTTGCTTCATGAGGTGGAAGTAAGCTACTAAACACAGGCGTGTCGGTAGCTCTCATCCACATGTACCCGGTTTGTGAGTATCAGATTCTCGACCAGTGTCGATATTTATTTGTCAATCCGATCATCTCCCTCTTGTAGGTGGATGACGCCGCTCAAGATATTCAACATCTTAGCATGGTGAGCTTTATTAAGTTCAAGTCTGCATCACCTGTTTGTGTCTAACTGTAAAATTTTGCGAAGCAGTCCACTACCACCGTTCAATCGTGCCATTCAATTGTCCTGTCTGGAGCCTCGTTATGTTCTTGGTGTGCCACAAGGCAAGTTTCTACAAGCAGTTTGTCCACTGCTTTGGCTCATATTTGGAACTCACTTCAGAGCTCTTCAAGTTGCAAGTTAATCAAGCTTCGATCAATACCTGTAAGTTCCAGCGGTCCACTAAATTCTGTTTTCACCCCAGGCTTGTGTACCCAGATCCTATTCAAGTTTCTCGTTATGGCTAGTCAACGCTTCGCTGTACAATATCACGATGTGCGTTTCCTATCATCTTGCCTGAAATACTCGCTAACGTTTTATTTCTAGCTTACGTATACGAAACTCCCAAACTGCTTGCACCCAAACCACCTGTTGTTCAAGCTGGTCGATGACCACTCACTCCTTGACCCCTTGCATCTCCAAAACTCGACACATTGTCTACAAGCTCTATCGGAAACACATACTACATGTAGTAGAAGCAAATGAATCAACCGTATGAGCCGCAATCTCGTTTCTTTGAAGAAACATTCTTCATCCAAGTCATGTAGTTATCTAGCAAGAAAGATACAATACCATTACAAGTGCATAATGTACATCAATTGCTTTGTGACCTTTCTCTATCTCAGAACTTGACGCGGGAAACGTTAAGCCAGAAAGTCCTGCCGTGAATTTTGGCAATCTTCAGCTCCAGATCGGTTGGTTGACGAGAGCCATCGTCCTTGGCAAAAGTTCCGGCACCCCAGGGCGATCCTAAGGGGGTTAAGTGTATCAGGTCGATGATTACGCTATTCGAATTGCACGTACCACCATGGACCTCATCAACGCCAGAGAGCTCTGCGAATGAGTGGGCATAACCCAAGGGAACATATATTATGCCATGGTGGACTAAGGTGGACATGCTATTGAGAGCAGTGACTTCCTGTCCTCCACCAGGGCCGGCAGTGGAGCTGAAGATGGAAGCGTACTTCCCATACAACGCACCCGATCGCCACAACTTGCCGGTAGAATCCCAGAATGTCTAGTGGTCTTAAGAGAGGAACTTCTATGTCCGAAAATCAACGGGCCTACCTTCCACTGGGCGGGCATCATGCCATAACGAGTGGGCATACCAAAGAGGAAGGCGTCGTATTTGACGATTTCCTCGAGGGTGATAATGGGGTAGTCTGGCTTGGCGGGGGTGTGCATCTTTCTCAAGATCTCTGGAGAAAGAGTCTCGGAGACCCTAAGGAGGCTCAGTGAGCTTATATTTCAATAAATTTTGTTGAATGTTACTGGAAAATGGTCGCTTTTCCGCCAGCCTCCTCTAAGCCAGCCTTCACAGCTTCAGCAACTATAAATCTTGTAAATGCGTTGGCACCAACGTAAAGCAATTACATACGCTTTGCAATATGTCCAAACAGAGTGTAAATGATTATAGCGATTTTGGGTGCCATAGTTGCTCCTAGGAGCTCTGAGTGGGATGAGTAGAAATTGCGAGTCGTTTTTGAGACAGGTCGAGCGAACTTCGCGTTCAGATGACATCATGACGCTTGTTTGATAATACGATGTCTCCGATCGTGGCGTAACACAAGAAAGCAAAACATATAGATTAAAAGATACACCGATGAACAAAGAATATGAAATTCCCAAATCCCGATTCACTAAACCAACATTGATTATTACTCATGATAGCAGGAAGCTCACCAAAGATAGATAGGTACTTTGCACTTGCTCGAGTCACCGAACTTGTACCTTATGAATGATTTTCTGATACCACGAGAAGGAGACCCCATGGCTTCTTTATTCGATTTTCCCTATTTATGAGCATAAAAATTTGAAACCAGCTTGAGCAGAATAAGGAGAAATCATTTGTAAGTATCATTTCTTCAACGCTAATAGATAGCTTGTATCGGTTGTCAAGGTAGTACGTCAAGTAAAGTAACAATACAAGGTAAAGGCAAGGTGAGTGCTACTCAAGGTAGCTGTGGACCTTACCCGAAGTCATCAGGTAATATATACAAGTCCAGAGAATACGGCAACGTGCCCGTACCGAAGGCCCGGATGAGAAACCATACTTCTGGTATGAATTTTATATCATGATCGCCGAGTCATGCGACAATTCAACATCGAAATCCACAAGAATACACAGACGAGAAATGGGAACGGAGCCACATAGGGGCTGGTCAAGTTGAAGATCCGAAATGATCAACTGTATGTAGATACGCAAGCGGAAAATGAGCAGCATGGGCTCACATGCGATTCAGTCGAAGCACGTCGTAAGCGCAAAACCTCAAAGAGCGCTTGAGGAGCGTGGCGTGATACAGGCGAGACACCATCCTGTCGAGCGGCTTCATCTCTTCATTCGCCTCGAAGAACTTTTCGGTTGATCACGTACGTACAGGCCGATTGCTGTAACGGTTCTGCCTAAAATGGAACACGCCGGAATTGCACACGACATACCAGTTGAACTACCTGTCCCATTAGAACAAACCACGTTACAACTCTGTAACCCGTTGCTCTCAGAAGGTGACGAAGTTCTGGCAACTGCCGGCCATTCAAACTCCGTAGCGGGGAAACCCGACCCGCGACAATTGCTTTCAGTTCCGATATTTTCAAGTCGCGAATTCCCGCAATAGTTGAAGTTCTCACGAACGGGCGCTCTTGCCGGTGCACCACCTGCTGCATAGATCACTGGCATGCACCGCGCAACTTTCGGTCCATATGCACCGTGACTTGTCTGACTATCAGGCGTCTTTTCATAGGAGCTGTCAACTTACGCAAACGGTCCTCACGCTGTACCTCCCAGATTCGAGGTTTCACAATGACTTACGGTAGCCAACTCTTGTCCCAGCTGCGCAAGATGCTTACAGTTGATCTAGACTCTATGGACCCTGCCACCCGACAACATGAGCGATATAAGTACCTTCACTGATATGATCATCAATCAGGCCATTGGATATACCTAGACCACTCATCTGGGGGACTAATCACTAGTGCTTGAAGCTATCGATTATTCGATTATGTGCGCACTTCGCATCCTACACTTCTTCGCATCCTACACCTGATACAAGTGTGACAGAGGTCGGGGACCGATTGCAGGATGTTCTAAACGTTTTGGTCTATACTGAGCATGTTTCTAGAATATTATCAATGAGTGACCGAAGATCTATAGACCGTTCGTCTGGCACAATTTTTGCATCCATTTGATAGGAAAGATGCACACTCAAACATCACCCAGCTGATCATTGAGCGTGTACGATTCCATGTCAGTTAGCGTACTCACCTAGTTATCTGGGTTTGCATCAAGATACCAGCCACGCGCGCCGGCATTTCCACATGTCATGCTCTCTTGTCGGTTGACTCAGCGTCGCTTGTGTCTTCTCGCTTGCCCAGGCATGCGCTGCATATGTTTCACCTTACTCAATGGTTCGGACTGAGTTCTTTTGGCGACCTGCTTGAACTTTCCCATGACATGAGGAACTGCGCGCTCACTTTGAGAGGATAAAGTACAACGACGCAGTGCAGGAACATCCTATGTTTCCAGTCATTGCTTCCATTATACAAGCCCTCAAAGGGCCCTCGCACATTCATCATGCCCGCGAGGTAAAGGGTCCCGCTAGCGGGATCGTGTTAAAACAACGACTAAGATATTCTGTACAGTATCAAGAACATCCCAGAACTTGGTCTTGCACTGGTCGCGCTTAGACCAGACCATATCAGCGTCGCTCCTTGATGAGCTTGCTGCAGCTTCTACCATACTAGAGGCTAAGCTTACTCATCCAAGTCTTTCTAACTTAACCTTGTGTTGTGTGGATAGAGATATTTCGGCGTGGCTGCCTCTGAACTTGAGCCTATCGATTTTGTCGAAAGGGGCGGGTCTTCCTTGCATCAGCATTGCATAATGAGCCGGACGTCCATTTGACTTCAGGATGCGATTAGTTTCTTTGCTGATTGCGAATGCAGTATGTACGTAGTGGTAGGAGATACTTGGAGTGAAATGGAATAAAAAAATAACTGTGGGCATTAGCTAGACTGGGCAGGATATTGTCCCGATCGATTTGTGGCCCTACTACCGATGATGATACCTATATGGTGACAGCAGACTTGAAATGAAGTCCCTCTTATCTCAGTGGTAGGACGCATGACTCGTACAATAATGTATGGACATGATGAGGTCAGTCGTTCAATCTGGCAAGTGGGAATAAGAGACTGAAAAATAGTATTTTTCTTTTCTCATATATGATCATAGTGATTCAAAACCTTTTCGATATAGTGAATAATAAAACATCAATAACATCTTCTAACCAATTGTACTTTTTGCAATGGGTATGTTCATTGCTGATTATTCTGGGGTATGAAGCTGAGAATTTTAAGGTGCAATGTAGGATGAGGTCTGTGGGTCCTTAAACATGAAAATCTTTAACCTATAATTTGGGTTATTGAAGGGCTTTCTGTGGGATCTGTGGGATCCAAGTAGTTTCTGCTTGTACCACATTGATAGATGCCTTCAAGTGTTCTTGGTGATCCTCTAAGTGTTTCCCATGCTTATAGAGCTCATAGAACCTTAGGACATGATTAGTGTCACGACCCGCTCCCTAGACCCCTGACATCGTTCCCAGTCCTTCCCAATGCCCCACCAAACTCCCCCAACCCTCGCCCACCCTCTGGGCCCACTCTGGGTAACTCCGACACTTCTCCGGCAAACCCCGATGGCCCCCTGACCAACTCCAACACCTTCTCCGCAGCCATCAACACTTTTCCTGAGCCCCTGGAATCCTCCCCCACTGTTCCTGACCCCATTATACACCTCCAACTCACTATCCTGGTTTGCCTGACCTGCCCCAAAGTATCATGATGACCTTGGAGCAGCCCACATCCCCAAATGATCCCATCAGAATATCACCACAGCCCGCCCCTTGATCATACCTGACACCTGTTGACTCCATGCAGCTCTGTCAAGCCCTGCCGCCCTGCCCACTGTTCTCCAGAGCTGTCCAGTAGTCAGTATATAAGTCGTAGAGTAGCGCCTCATACTCTAGTCTTAATATTACTTGCATTTACTGGTTTCTTGTGTCTTGTGTTTCATTCTGTCTCTATTTCTAATTGTAGTCTTGAATCTATCTCTTTTGTCTGTCTCATTTTGTCTCATCTCTGTCTCGTCTCAATTATCTCTATTTCTTTTGTTTTCCTAAGTTCTTTCCATCTCTGACATCAGTATAAACTCCATGTATGCAATATGAACTCTGAACATTCTTATGACAACTCTGGACTTTGCCCTTCACTTGGCCTTGAACCCATCCAGTCTTACTTGATCCCACCATCAAACTCTGGCTCTGCCCCCATCTCTAGCAAAGCCTCCATCTACCCTGCAATCTATTTATGTGCTTATGAACTTGTTCTTGACATCTGCCCAAGCCCAACATTAATATACTTGGTTTTAGACTTCCCCCGACCACTCCAGACTTGCTTGGACTGCTTCCCTTAGCTTCTCCTTGCAAGTCTCTCCTCTCCATGCCACCTCCAGAGTGCTAGGTTATAAGTGCAGGACATTGTGTCTGCCTAGTAAGGATTTGCCAGTGTAGCTGAGCCCCTGCTATCAGTGGAATCTGACATAATATCAAGACTCCCCCTTACCCTGTTCTCGATGTCTGCATATAACCCCACATACAACCCCACCAGCTATCTAACTGATGTCTATAGTTGGCTGGTCCCTGAAAATCCCTATGCCCTGTTCTACCCAGGCCTCCCTGCAAATCAGTATGTTCCCTGCCACTGGACTCCTAACCCCAACCAGGCATTCTATGCACCCTCCATCAGCCAGGAAATCCCACTGGGCTAGCACTACCCTTCAGCATTCCCTACTGATGGTAACAATCCCTGCATGAACCCCAGAGAATACTCTGCAGCACCCCCCAACCCCACCTACCTTCTGCCCACTACTACATGTACCTGCTTCCCACTGCAGCTCCAGCCCCTCTAGAGCACCCAGATAATCATTCTCCCTCTTGTCTGCCATTCTCTACTCAAGTTCTCTCCTCCTCTAAACAGCAAAGGGTCAAAGCCTATGTCCAACAATGCGATGAGGTCCTCTGCTTCCTCTGCCTCTTTCCTGCAGAGTTTGGAAGATATGCTTGCACCCTCCTCGTCAGCCTAGGCTACTCCAACACCTCCACAACTCCAGGAGTTTGGGCAGATTGACTCCTTGACTTCTATAAGTGCTACCTGCAAGGGAACCTCCCAGAAACTATGCAAGGCACTCTGACCATTGATGCTAATTTACAAAACAAGCTCCATGCATTGGTTGAAGAAATCCACACCAGTCTGAACCCCTGCCCCGTTGAAGATCCACTGGACCCCACTCACTCCTTCCATATACAATACAAGGAACCTGTTGGGACATGAAGTGAAGCCCTGCCTCCCATCCCCCACTAGTAGGAAGAACTCAACATGGCCTCCAGCATCTTGAGGAACCTCAACCTCACAGGGGGACTGTTTGACCAACCCACCACCCACACTTTGGCCCTCTCCACCCGCCCCCAGATCAACTCCATCCCCAGTGCCTTTCAAACATGGAATCAGCCTGCCATCCCTGAACTCTGCTCCCAACAACTACTCCTGCATGTCGATGATGATAACCAGACTCTTTCCTACATCAATGAGCCTGGCAACCCCACCAATGAGCCCACCCCATGCAATGGCCCTCCATGGGACAGGCCTCCCCACTTTGACCTCTGCGCCCCCTGTGTTAATGCTCCTCCACCTTATCCTAATGTCCCAGTTCTCCTGAGGCAGCCCACAGGCCCTGGAGCACCCTGACCACCCTTTCCCACCAACCCTCCTTGTCCCCTGCCCATTTTGATGCCTAACCCTCCCACTAACACAAATGACTTTGGACCCCCCACCCCTGGAGGACCCCCTCCCCCTCAATGGGCCCCAGGGCCTCTCCTGGGCAACATGGGCCAACCCTCCAGTGGACCCCCTAGAGGATGGGGCCTGGCCATGGACAACTTCCTCCTCCAACATGGAAACAGAAACAATTATTATTACTACTACAATGCTAGACCTCTGCTCCAAACTCAAAACCCACAGGATGATACTCACAATGCACTGGCTCAGGAAGGTAAACTTGACATTTAGAAGCCCGAACCCTTTACTGGCTGACTCCCAGAAATGGCACATTTTTTTAACTCAGTGTTTAATGATGTTCCAAGCTAAGCACATTACCTTCCAGCTCAAAAGCTCACAAGTAGCCTTTGCTGTGTCATATTTGCAGGGAATCACCTTCAATCATTATACAGCACTACTCCAGTTTGACTCCAACAACTTTGTACCTACCAATTGGCTTGCTTTCACCCAGGAATTCTCAAGTAAGTTTAGCATCTTTGACACTGTAGCAGAAGTGGAGGAGAATCTATTCAACCTCTGAATGTGCAACAACAAACGTTTCATGACCTTCATTGTACAGTTCAAATGAAAGCCTACAAAACCAGATGGAATTACAATGCCCTCCACTTTGCCCTCTGTCATGCCCTGCCTCAGCAGATCAAGGATGTCCTTCACCTCACACCTAAGCAAACCACCTACAATGGGCACAAGGCACTTGTTACTCAGGTCGACCAACACTACTGGGAAGATCACAGTGAAAACATGGCACCCCAGACTTCGTGGAACACCTCCAGCAACACCAACTGGCAGGCTGGAGCTGCCAATGGCACTCAATCCTTGATCTCTGCCAACCCTGCCAATCCCACACCCCATTTCCTTCTGGGTTGAGGAACTACCAGTGCTAACTGACTCTCAGGGCAATGCTCACCTGCCCAGCTCAATGCTGCTGACCTCTATGAGACTCCAGAGCCCCTGGATGCCAGCTCTGATGACCATGACAATGTTCTGGACTTTGCCAACAACCAAGAAGCCCTGTGCACAAACAAGATTCAGAATAGGCTGTGGATCAACATACTGGAGGATACACAGGAGAAATGACAAAAGAAGGGCATATGCATCCTATGTGGTGAGCAGGGACACTTCATCTGCAGTTGTCCTAAACAACAGGTAATGGGATGCACCATATGGATGATCGATGGAGAAGACTATGATTACCAGTTTACAGAAAACAAGTCAGCAGTTTAGGTCTTGAAGATGCACTAGACTGCAGACCAGACTCTGACGTCTTCTCTGCCCCAGCCACACTTCTTCATGCAATGGTACTCACCTTGGACAACCTCTCAGCACACCTCCCCTCCCACTCCTCCACCACCCTTCTCCTCCACACCACTCTCCCCTTCTCTGACAACTCTGTCCCCACCCTAGTCAACAGCAGTGCCATGGATAACTTCATCAACGAATCCCTGGCAGCACTCGCTCCCCACCAACTCCAATGCCTTCCTGCTCTGATCCCCCTCAAGCTCTTAGATGGTGACCCTACTCCTGCCAGAGACATCACACACTGCCTGGAAATGACCATGACCTTTGCCAACAGATGACAACAAGAGCTCCAGCTGCTAGTCATGAAACTACACCCCTCTGTCCCCATTGTTTTAGGCTTTTCATAGCTCCACTCCACCAACCTCTGCATTGACTGGCCTAGCCTCACCCTCCACCTTGATTGGGACAACCCCACTGACTCTGGACTGGTACCCTTCAATGTCTTGCCCCTTTCCAAGAACTCTGAGACCATGATTGACCACCTTCAGACTCTTTTACAGCGCTGCTACAGGTCCACATGGTCATTCATCATCAATGTCTGAATTGATGGCTTGCCCAAGATACTCCCTGCCTTCATTGACAGTGGTGCCTCTAGTACCTTTGTCAGCAGTCAACTTGACCTCCAATGCAATGACCTTGACAAACCCCTCAAGCTCCAACTCTTCAATGAAAGCCCCACCATGACAGGAATCACTCAATACCAAGACAACATCCTCACCTTCAACAATGACCTGCAGTTTCAGGCCCAGCTCCTCATCACCCAGCTACCCCCATTGACTTTGATTGTGCTGGAACTTTTGTGGCTGCAAGACATCAATCCCAACATCAACTAGAAGAACCTCACCATGCAATTTCCCAGCCCCAAAGCAAGTTTAGTGGCCGCCATCCCCCTCTGCCTCCAGTTTATCTTGGACTCCAATGTCTCCAACCCTGGCACTAGCACTTCTGGAGCAACCCAGAGCCCATCAACCCCTGACAGTGATTCTGACAGTGAAGA